AAAAAAAAAAAAAAAGAAGTACCAGAGGGAAGTCAGATCATTTGCATTTGCGAAAGTGAAGGCAGGGGTTTTGAATAGTCAGCCCACCCGCTCAACATAGCTTCCATAGTGTTGTCTATTTGTATCTCTAAACAGTTACAAATGTTGGCATATCACATCTTTTCAGGGCCAGAATCCACTTCTAGGTACTTAGAATCTAAGAAACATCATACCTATTCTTTTCTATTAGCTCCAGAAATACGTACGCAATTATGATTTCATTGTTTTCACTTAGTATGAGTTTGGTACCAAAGGAAAAGAAAAAAAATATCACGAATTTTTTTGTATTTCACCTGTATTACATCATATTACATGCATTACAATCTGTCAAAGTAAGGACACATACAGGAAAACGAAACCAAAATAATAGCGTGTTTAAAGTCATCATCTTTCATGACCAAGGGTGGATTGATATAGTTATAACACTCTAATGAGATACAAAGTGATTGTTGAGGGTTTTTTTGTTTTTTTTTTTAACCCAGCTCCACTTTTAATGGTATTTCATAGTAATCCTTGAAGTCTGACCAGTTCACTTCTGAAATATCTCTGAAGATATAGGTACCGGAACTCTTAGCTGAACAATCGGTTGTTTTATCTCTTAATTAGTGATTGCAATGTCATTCAGTTTAATTATTTATTTGCTTATTTTAATTACCTATTTTATTACTTAAAAAGCATTTTTCATTTGTATTATAAAATGTAAAAATAAAACTGCTAACTTTTAGTAAAAGTTTCTTCCCTTTTTCCACTCTTTCCTATTCTTTGTGTGTTAGAAAGAAAATGAAACATTCCAGTGTGTTTCAGTAGTTCATTCTCTCTGCAGCATGTCCTCTGTGTGAGATTCTTTTTCTTTAGCTATAGGGTGGGTCTCTTAGGGCAGCCTTGATTTAGTAAAGTTCTTTTGTGCAGGACTTTCATAAATCTAACACCTGTAGAGCTATTTTTGATTAAAATAATAAACAACACACTTGATTCATTTTTCACCGTGAGTAAGTGTTGGTGTAATAACAGGAAAGTTTAAAGTATTTTATGCTGAAGTAGGGAAAATACTTCATGTTGCATGCGTACCAGCTAAGAATGACAAGAGTTGCTGGATTCTTAGTTTTTCCTTTCTCCCAGTTGCTGTCTTGCTTGGGTTTCAAATAGTCTGAAAACTTTCTATAACAATGGGAAAATTATACAGACTTCCATGATGGAAGGTGTCTTTAGGATGTCATTTATTACATAACCAGACTGTAAAAGTAGAATATTTTCAGGGAAGCATCTACAAAATAAGTCATTGGCATCATTCATATTCAGTGCATTTGGCAGTATCTATCTGAATTACAATAAGTATATCCCTTGACCTAACATTTCCATGTCTGGAAATTTGTCCTACAAATAGACTTGCACATATATGGAATGATGTGTATACAAGATTATACACTGCAACATGTGATTGGAAATAACATAGATGTCCAATGACAGGAGAATGATCTATCAAGTATAATACATGAACAAAGTGGCATATACCATGCACGTTAAAAAAATAAAGAAGCTCTATGTACTAATAGGGAAAGGTCTCCAAGATACACATTGTCCTCAACATTTGTTTGTTCATATAACATGTATTGTTCATTGCCATTCTTTTTTAAAGAAAATATTTGTATTTGACCCTGTAGCATAAAGGATCTCTGTGAGGACAGATAAACAACTGGTTACACTGATTGTATATGAAGAGTAAGTGAGTGGCAGGAGGGCAGAGATGGGAGAGAAACATTTGACACCTTTCTACGTCTTTTGTATTTTGAATCACTATTAAAAGAACAAAAACCAGCCAAACTAAAAAGAAATTATGACGTACCTCTTTAAAATTTATTTAAATAATATGCAAGTTAGCATTTACTTTTCTAATTGAATAAACATAGCCCTACATGGCAATCTTTTTTTTTTTTTTATTATACTTTGAGTTCTAGGGTACATGTGCATAACGTGCAGGTTTGTTACATATGTATACTTGTTCCATGTTGGTGTGCTGCAGCCATCAACTCATCAGCACCCATCAACTCGTCATTTACATCAGGTATAACTCCCAATGCAATCCCTCCCCCCTCCCCGCTCCCCATGATAGGCCCCGGTGTGTGATGTTCCCCTTCCCAAGTCCAAGTGATCTCATTGTTCAGTTCCCACCTATGAGTGAGAACATGCGGTGTTTGGTTTTCTGTTCTTGTGATAGTTTGCTAAGAATGATGGTTTCCAGCTGCATCCATGTCCCTACAAAGGACACAAACTCATCCTTTTTTATGGCTGCATAGTATTCCATGGTGTATATGTGCCACATTTTCTTAATCCAGTCTGTCACTGATGGACAATCTTTAATATAAAAAAGCATAACCATTCTATTGATCAGACTAAAATGTGTTAAACTAAAAGGATCTTACAGACAAACAGTCCTAAATATGATCTATGTATACAATACATGGGCAATACAGGCATAATTCTATATGCAACTGCATACAAGTACATGTTAGAATACATAACAAGTCAATTTTATCAACTGATATTCCAAAAAATTTTCAGCATTAGGGTTCCACGGCTAGTGTCTTGCATATTCAAGTATTCCTCATATTACTTAGAAATGTATTGTTTACTACAACTAGATAGGACTTTTTTTCTTTTATCCAATTGCCTCTATTTTACACTTATAAATCATCTTAGAAGTAGTAAAATTACACGTCTCTATGTTTTCATTGCTGGTTATTTATGCCTCAGAAGAGTTCTCTAGTTTATTCAAATCAAAGTCTTCTGATCACTCTACCCAAGGCCCCCTTCACTTCCTTGTTCCTCAAAGTGTAGATCAGTGGGTTTAGTACTGGTGTGACCACGGTGTACATGATGGCAATGATCCGGTCCTGGTCCATGGAGGTCCCTGAGGCAGGATGAATATAGGTGAAGAGAACAGGTGCATACAAAAGAATAACTACCATGAAGTGGGAGGCACAAGTGGACAGCGCTTTGTGGAGTATGCTACAAGAATGGGTCTTGAAGGAGAGGTAGGTGATAATGTAGAAATAGGAGAGAAGTGTCAGAAAGAAGGGGCCCATGGCAATTGTCCCTGTGACAGTACTGAGCAGCCACTGATTGAGCTCCGTGTTCCCACAGGCCAGCTTTAGCAACGGCTTCACATCACAGAAGAAGTGATGGATACAGTTGGAACCACAGAAGTTCAAGCGAGAAGTCATTACGGAGTGCAGCAGGGCATGGAAGAAACCAATGGTCCAGATTGTGATGGCCATCTGGGTACAGAGCTGAGGGCTCATGATGACAGTGTAGCGAAGTGGCTTGCAGATAGCCACAAAGCGGTCAAATGCCATCACGGCCAACAGCATGGCCTCTGTGCTGCCCAGGAAGTGGAAGAAATGGAGCTGGCTTATGCATCCCAAGAAAGAAATTGCTTTGTGTGTAGAGAGGAAGTTCTGCAGCATCTTTGGCAGTGTCACCGTAGAGTAGCAGATATCCAGGCAGGACAGGTTTCCCAGGAAGAAATACATAGGGGAATGGAGTCTAGGATCAGAGATGACAATCATCAGAATGGCTCCATTCCCAGCCACACTGATGAAGTAGATGGTGAGGAAAACCACGAAGAGAAAAGGTTGCAGTTCTTGAATGTCTGTCACTCCCAAGAGGAGAAATTCGGTGACTGAGGTTGTATTCAGCATCACTTCAGAAAAAAGACAAAATAATGTATGGAACACTAATTGAATCAGAATCCTTCCAGCTCAGAATTTTCTCACCAAGCCAAAGCTACTTGGAAGGAGAGTACTGTTGTTGTACTTGTTTCAAACCTCAGAAGTTGTACAGAACTTAGCTTAGCTGTTGGTCTCTTCAATATTAAGGATTCATGCATATTATGGACTATGACTTAACCACTTTTTAAAATTAAATTTCTCATTAACATATTTCTTTCTTCTGGGGATTTAGAACATGTTGCCAACTTACAATCTTCTCTGGTTGTGAACATCTGTATTCCAACACAACTTTCCTTTCCTATCCCAAGTCAGCGTTAATAGGGGGCAATTTTTAAGTGCAACACCACTTGGATATCTCTTGACCCAGGAAAATGGCACCTGAAATTTTTTGACTTAAGAGAGAAAGATAAAGATGAACTCATTATAATCACAAAGTCTTTAAAGAGATATAAAAACCTCTTTAAAATAGTAGTAATTGTTTTGTTCTCATCTTAGAATGTAGATGAGGCCAGAGATGTTCTCTTACTGATCTCTTTCTAACCCCATCTCTGGCAATGTCATGGAGCTCTACTGGGATAGGAAAAAAAAAATACATCAATCAAATATTAATCCGAGGTATATTTGAGGTTTTATCACTGCTATATCAGATAATGTGCTCACTTTCTTCTTATCTAAGCCTTTAATTTTTTTCAAAGTAAATCCCAACTTACTTACTTCATGACAAACATTATTGTTCCTCTAGTTGCCAGTTGCACTGGGACATTTTCCTTTTTCACACCTCTGAATCTCTGAATAAGAAAAGCTCTTCCAATAGACTCAACAATTCTTCCTTCATTTTATTCAATAGTGTCTTCTTCTAAAGTATTTATGAATTTAGACCACTGAAAACCCTGTCTTGTGATGCATTTTCTTAAGGCTTATTTTTGTTTTGCCTGAAATAAACTCACTTTTTAGATGTGAAGAAACATTGCATCTCAAGTGAATTTTCTCTCTTTTCTTCTAGTTTCATTAATGTGGCACTGACAGTCAAGTTCTCCTCGATCAACCCAGAGGTCTGTTGGCTTCCTATCAGTTCTCTCCAAAGCTGCCACACATTTCTAGCCCTTTTCATTTGTAAAATGTGTTTTCTCTATTTGCCCCGTCTTTCCATCTAATAAAATTTCCATTTTCTATGAACAAAATGTATTCATTTTTCTTTCTTTTGCAGAATTGAAATAATAGAATTTTTTTAGTAACTGTTAAAACACACAAGGGATTATAAGTAAGATAATTATAATGAGGTTTAACATTTGACTAAATTTATACTGTTTATTGAAAGGCAGACATATCTTTTGAAGGTTTTTTCTTACATTATTTGCAAAGTACTTGGGATTATCTTCTATAGGTGCACTGACAAAAGCAGACATAATTTTGTGAAATAGCTTCCTGTTTGTTCCTTTCTTGTACAAACGTAGTGGATTAACTTTTGCATATTAGGAGGAAAGAAGCAAGAATGTGTGGGAAATCCTTAGAAATGGAAGGCACTTAGAAAAGAATAAGAACTATTAGGAAATCAGAAGAAAGATGCAGACATTAGAGTGTTTCCTATAAACGGGGAATAATTCAAGGTTGAAAAATTACTGATGAGAGAACAAAATGATTTGGTGTGACTAAAGTTAAAAAAAAATAATGAACTAGGAAACACTTCTAGGGAGCCCATAGGGTATTTGGCTTTACAACTGGAGGAAATTTTGAGAAATTATCTAACCTTTACCACACCTCCATGAAGGACTGCCTTCAAGCAACTTAAAATAGCTTTCTTTGATAGCCATGTATGTTGCATATTTTTCAAAACTTTTACCATGTCTTTTAAAAGTACAAATGATAGCTAAAATATATTATTTTTGGTTCTCTGACCCATAAAATAAAATTGTATCAAAAATCTATTTGGTGAAAAAGAAAATTTAAAAAATAATAAATAATAAAACAACATTTTCCTTACATTTAAAGAATGTTGTTTAGCCAACTTCTCTGTATGAAAATATTTCTTTTACTGCAATTTCAATATTTAGGCATTTCAGATTTGCTTTAGCGAATATGTAGAGAACCAGGCACGTTGAACGGAGAAGGAGACATGGCAATACAAGTGCGGAAAACAAAATGCTTTCATAATCTACAACCACAATGAAGACTCCATCATAAAAATAGGAAACCAGCTGGAAGCCCTGGGCATCTAACTTTAATACTCGCAAGCAGTCAGGTCACTCATGAACAGATAAAAAATATGAGCAGCTTCCCAGCCTGTCTCCTATTCTATTCTCTCACCTGATTGTGTGTTCAGAATCACAGGTAAAAGAGCTTTTCAGATTTACACTCCCAGTAATTATAAATAGAAAAATATTTGAAGTGATGGTTGATGTTGGGATTGCAGCATAAATTATCTTCAAAAATTCTTTCCTCTCTGAAAATCTGCCTGCCTTCCAATGAGCTGCAGCTCTCTAGACATAAAAACCTGAGAGAAACTGTCCCCTGGGTGCTGAGAAGGATTGTCGTGAGAATAAACAGGAGGACTCTCTGCACCTGCAGCATAAGGGGATCGCCATATGGAATTTCTCTGTGGAATTCCATTTTTCTGTTGTCGTTCTTCTTATCTTTTTTTCTTAATATGTTTGTTCCTTGGTTTCATAACCATGGACAAGACAGTTTTCAATAGCTTAATATATTTGCTGGATTTTTTCTTTAAAATAGCAACCCAATATTTTATTTGACCTTCCACAATACTGTTTTTTTTAAAAACATTTATTTGTTTATTTAAAATATTTTTTCCTAGTCAAATTTCCTTTCATTTCCTAAGGTAGAGGTTCAGATTCACTTTCTCTTCTTGAGGGCTCCCTTGGAAGATATTTTGGTATATAAAATGAAAGAAAATTGGCAACAAAAATTAATAAATGTGGTCACCCACATTCCATTGATCAGTACAGAAAGATGATTATCTTTAGTATTCTACTATGATTCTATGAAAACCAAGGAAAGAGAAATAAAGAGAAATAGTATTGCCTTTGTACCTTCTACGTCTGACTCTTCACTGTTGCTAATACCACTAAATTATTTTAAATAATTAATTTTGGGGTCCAAAAGCTCACATTTTTATCTGCTTGGGATAAGGATTTTGGTCTTACCAATGTATAGCCTTACTTTTTGCTATCTTTTAGGTAAGAAAATTTTGTCTGATTTACACCAGGGTATCTGTGTGTGACTTTCCATCAATCCAAGGATTCTACTAATAATTATAACTGTGATGTATCTTTTCCAGCTTTCTATTGAGTTTCCCTTTTAAAAATATATTACATATATTTATCACAATAATACCTTATTTTAATTTTGTTTTTTTAATCTTTAATTTTTTTTTCTTGTTTTGAGTCAGAGTCTTGCTCCGTCATCCAGGCTGGAGTGCAGTGATGCAATCATAACTCACTGCAGCCTCTAATTCCCGGCCTCGAGCAATCTTCCCATATCATCCTCCCTAAATGTTGGAATTATAGGTATGAGCCATTCCATATACAAATAATTCCTTATTTTATATACTGCAAATACATTATAAATAACATTTATTGCATGCTCATTATGTATAAGTTATTGTTCTGCATTCTTCACATATATTAGTTCATTTAATTCTCACAATAATCCAATGTAAAAGTATTAAAATTATTCCTTTACTACAAGAAAACCGAGGCTCAAAGGATTTAAGTAAATTTTCTTTTTCCTTGCAATGGATTGTGAAACTAGGATTCAGATTAAGGCTCTTTAGTTTCAGGGATCACTGTAATGTAATTTCCATTTTCTCAAAATGTCCCCCACCTCAATTTTATCATTTTTTATCTTGCATTGAGCCGTAAAGGTTATGTAACTGGTCCTGTTAATTAGATTTAGAGTTTTATATTTGTCATTTAGGATTCTAGTCTTCTAGAGGTTATATTTACATATCCTATGAGATAATCAACTAGTCTTGGTTCTGCTTGTCTCTATGTAGATAGACTAATCCTTCCTTCTTCATAGTTTTGTGAGGCAATCTTTATACTATTCCACGTCCCCCTCAATACATGGTCTGCTTCTCCACTAACTATGTTTTCCATTGAATAAGCCGTATTTTAATTAATATGATGTTATTGTAGGGCCTAATATCTCATAAGTTAGGAAAAATCGTTACTCCTTTTTTTTTTTCCCCAAAATACCTCCAAGCTGGTTGGGTGCAGTGACTCACGCCTCTAATCCCAGCACTTTGGGAGGCTGAGGCAGACTTGAGGTCATGAGTTCCAGACCAGCCTGGCCAACGTGGTGAAACTCCATCTCTATTAAAAATACATAAATTAGCTGGGCTTGGTGATGTACGCCTGTAATCCCAGCTACTCAGGAGGCTGAGGCAGGAGAATCGCTTGAACTTGGGAGGCAGAGATTCCGCCACTGTATTCCAGCCTGGCTGAGGGAGTGAGACGCTATAAAACAAAACAAAACGAAAAACCATCAAAGTGTATTGACAGCTTTTTTTCCTAAGTAATTTCAATGTTATCGAAATTTTGCTTATGGGGAAAGGCCTACGGCCAACTCAGAACAGGCCCCTTGAATGGAACTGGAGAGGCTCCAACATGGCTGACTTGATACATCTGGTATTTGACTCTTTCTCGTAAAGTATCCAAAATAACCAGTCAATAATCACACCTTGAATAGATCATCTAAGAGAGAACACTGGAAGTCAGCAGAGAAGTGACCAGGAAGCACCGAAAGCAAAGGAAAAGGAAATAAGACAGCCCGTTCAACCAAGATCGGATGTGAGTCTTGAGCGGCTCTCCAATGTGGGAAAAGGAAAGGGAGAGATTCCCAGCCCACATTTTCACCGCAGACACCTACAATTCTAGTCACAGGAGATCCCCTCAACCATCGTAGCCCCTGAGACTAACATAGGGAGCTGCCTGGAGACCATGTGAAGGCGTTGCCCCAGAAAGAACCTCACACTGGGTCCCACGAACCCTAAGTCCTAACTAACTGCAGCACAGCACCATTTTGACAGCACAGATTCCAGCACACTGAATCCTACTCTGCTTCTGGGACCGAGGCAAGAGCCGTAGGCAATA